ATAATTCTATCCTATTATTATTGAATGTTTAGAAGAGAAAAAATCACAGACATATTTAAGCTTTTAAACAATCAAAAGTTAGAGCAGAAAGGAATTAAAAATATTGAACACTTTATTGGTACACTCAAAATTATAAGTAAACTCGACTTTAATAAAAAGAACTTTTCACATGAAGATTAAGAATAAATAAGAAAAGAATTGATTTAAAGGATTGGTTAAGATAGGCAGATCATTGAATTTTTGAAATTCCTTGTACACCTGACAGCCTTTGATGAGAAATTTATCTAATGTGGATCTAATTCACTCAATCTATTAGTCGATATGAAGGTGGATTTGACATAATAAAGCTTTGAGAATATCAGGATAAGTAACACTTCTTTAGTTGGTGGAAATTTTATAAGATGCAATTTTAACGGGTCAGAATTTGATAATGTTGAAATAAGTGGAATGAACTTGAATTAAGCTTAATTGTTTAATTGTAGATGGAAAAATATCAAAATTCATGAGTTAAATAAATTAGATGGTCATAGTGGAAGGGTCAATTCTGTCTGCTTTTCTCCCGATGGTAAGTCAATATCTTCTTGTAGTGATGATAAATAGATTCGTTTATGGAATGTGAAAACAGGGAAAATAAAGTAAATAATCAAAGGAAAGGGGAAGGGAAAATCAGTATGCTTCTCACCTAATAATACTACATTAGCTTTTAGCAGCGATGATCTTGGGTATATTTGGAATGTTAAAACAGGAAAATAAATATTTAATTTAGGTGGTTAATCATTTAAGGTTAATTCTATCTGTTTTTCTCCTGATGGTACTACGTTAGCATCAGGTAGTTATGATAAGTCTATCCGTTTATGGGATGTTAGGACAGGATTATAAAAAGCCAAATTAGTTGGTCATTCACGTAAGGTTAAGAATATCTGTTTTTCTCCTGATGGTACTATATTAGCATCTTGTAGTTCAGATAAGTCTATTCGTTTATGGGATGTGACGACAGGATTATAAAAAGCAAAATTAGTTGGTCATTCAGGTTTTGTATATTCAGTCAATTTCTCTCCTGATTGTTCTACATTAGCATCTGGTAGTTATGATAAGTCTATCCGTTTATGGGATGTTAGGACAGGATAAGAAAAAGTCAAATTAGATGGTCATTCAGATTGGGTATATTCAGCCAATTTCTCTCCTGATGGTACTACTTTAGCATCTGGTAGTTCAGATGATACTATCCGATTATGGGATGTTAAGACAAGATAATAAAAAGCCAAATTAGATGGTCATTCAGATGGGGTTTATTCAGTCAATTTTTCTCCTAATGGTACTACATTAGCATCTGGCAGCTCAGATGAGTCTATCCGTTTATGGGATGTTAAAACAGGATAATAAAAAGAAAAATTAGATGGTCATGAAGATAATGTTAATTCAATCTGTTTCTCTCCTAAGGGTACTACATTAGCATCTGGTAGTTCAGATGAGTCTATTCGTTTATGGGATGTGACGGCAGGATTATAAAAAGCCAAATTAGTTGGTCATTCAGGTTTTGTTTCTTCAGTCAATTTCTCCCCTGATGGTACTAAATTAGCATCTGGTAGTTATGATAAGTCTATCCGTTTATGGGATGTTGGGACAGGATAATAAAAAGCCAAATTAGATGGGCATAAATCAGCAGTAATGTCAGTCAATTTCTCTCC